ATGTTATCAGGGTATGGCTCTGCTTCTAAGCTGTCTGACATTTGGAAATGTTTCTGATCTGTTCATCTGAATAAACCTTTTGAGCTGGCTCTTTGGTCTGTCTGCATCTGACTCATTTTACTGATTAGTTCAAGCAGTCCAAAAACTAAATCACAACTTCATTACTGACATAATTTAATTGTAGCTTCAACATTGACAAGAACCACACATGTGAAACGATGTTAACTACCAATAAAGTTAAAGTGAAAAAGGCACATATTCCATACAGCCATTATTTCAGAGTCTTGATGACATTAAAGCTTAACTCTAAACTTTTTCAGATTTAATGACTAGAAAACCGAGGTGAATGTTTTTGACCTCCAACGTGTATTTAGATACCTTGGCCCAGTATAATAAGCCAACTGTCACAAACCTGGGGCTGAAAGTGGACTCTGAACGTGACAGATTAAGGCAGTTGTAAAATCAAGCTTCTTGCAGCTCAGGCAGCTGTCACAGCAGCACTTTGAGACAGTGATCCACGTCTATGTTAGCACTCAGCTGGATTACTGTAATGCACTTTATATGGGGATCAGTGATTCATACATTACTCGTTTACAGAGGGTGCAAAATGCTGCAGCTCGTCTTTTATCTGGCACTCGAAAGTTTGAATACATTTGCCCTATTTTAGCTTCACTTCACTGGCTGCCCATTCATTTTAGGATTCATTTAAAAATTCTTTTATTTGCTTTTAAAGCCCTCCATGGCCTAGCCCCATCTTATCTCTCTTAGCTGCTACAGCCTTATACACTCACCTGCTCTCTCAAGTCAGCTGATCAGCTGCTCCTGAATGTACCCAGGACTGAGCGTAAACCTCGAGGAGATCGTGCTTTTCCTGTAGCAGATCCAAAACTGTGAACGATCTGCCTTTAGAGATAAGACTCGTGATGGCAGCTACGTTGTAGCCACAGCTGCCCTGGGGCGCACTGACAGAGGCGAGGCTGCCGGACACTGGCGCCACCGGGCCCTCTGACCACCACCAGTAGGCAAGCATGGGGTTAGTATCTTGCCCAAGGATATTTGGCATGCAGCTAGGAGGCAGCCTG